AGCCTCGTCTCTCGTGAGTGCGAGCTGAAGGAACTGCTAACTGGTTGGGTGAGAATCCTGGTTAGTCGGGATTCGGACGCGGTGCAAGGCGAGGCGCATACCCCACTTGTACCGCGATTTGCAGTTCCAACAGGTTCACATCACATATGAGCTTACATGGACTGGTATATGATGCATTGTAATGTAATCACTGTATGAATTGGTATGATCATATGTGGATGGTAAAGAAAAGGTGCGGGTGGGTGGGTTAAATCGAGGTAATATGCCTGCGTCTACTGTAGGAACGCTTCGTCGTCGGTGAACGTCGTCGTCGAGGTCAGGAAGTCGAACGACGAGAAAACTGCTCGAGCACTGCCGCTCGGCTGGACGCTACTGCCGGCCTCTCTCGGCTTCGCTAGAGCTCGTCTGGCACTGCCACTATTCCAGCCTCGTCTCTCGTGAGTGCGAGCTGAAGGAACTGCTAACTGGTTGGGTGAGAATCCTGGTTAGTCGGGATTCGGACGCGGTGCAAGGCGAGGCGCATACCCGACAGAGAGCAGCAAGGCGATCCGCGGCCGCCTGCGCCGCCTACCCAACCCGAGACGTCGCTGCGTCAGTGGCTTCGATGTTGGCTAGGTGTTTCGACGAGATTTGTTCGAAGGCGCGAATATAGGCCTCGTAAGCGAGCGAACGCCAACGCCCGGCGAGACGCACGATCTCCGGGTCAACTTTCTTAGCCAGGAAGTAAGAGGCCCCACCGATCCGGAATGAATGGCCATATGCTGTTCCCCATCCCCACGCCAGGAAGATAGCGTTGACGCGTTTGAGGGCAGCGTTCTTGGTCATGGGGCGGATGTCGCCATTGCGGTCGCGCCAGCTGAACAAAGGATCATCCGCAGATGCGGGAACGATGGCTGCCAGATTGCGGAGTGCCTCCAGCGGGCACGAATCACCTTGCTCGTTAACAAAGACCTGTTGCACCTCACCAGGCTTTGCGGTCTTTGCGGATGGTAAGCTCAGCTTAGCATAAGGTTGCGAGTGCAGGTCACTGCCAAACTGCACATCGCGCCGCTTGAGGTGTAATGAGCCGTCGAACGCTGATCGGGAAGCAACTGAGACTTCGCCGAAGCGCATCATACCGTAGAACGCGCACGACGACATCGCCCATATACACGCGTCGAATGGGTCGGATAAGTCCAGAGTAGCCTTGAGTGCTACCAGCATGGGCAGAGTGACTGGTGGGCGGGGCGGTCGAGATCGCCGGGACTGCTGGATGTTCGCGAGACCGCGCAGAGACCAGTTAATCCGCACGTTGTCTTCGTCAGAGAGCGGTGGGGGCCACCCTTGCGCGAGATGCCATGCCCGTACTGCCGATAGGTATTTCCTTGCTACAATGCAAGAGACCGGCTCGAAAGGTGTTCCGGTCGCGAGTGCCGGATCAAGCGGATCAGGGTCAGTTACTGCCCACAAGACGAATGAGTGGAGGACGGGGTAAGTGGCAGGAAGGCGATGGGCCTCGGGGATTGAGAAGATATCACAAAATAGATGAAACTTACGAAGACCGGACCCGTAGCTGGCGGTGTCTCGTAGTGAGGCGTGAGATGCCACACTGGCTAAATGGCGGATGACAGGGTTATCTATGGTTGAAGACGGGGGAGTATTCACCCCTCGCCAGAGGAACAGTCGTTGCTCCGCCCGGCAGTCCGGTCTCAGTGGGGACGGACGCAGCTGCAGCTGGCCCAGTCGTGTGACCTCCGGAGCCATGTCGGGGGTTACTGCAGGGAGTATTCGTATTCCGGTGGCCGGTAGTACTACCACGGCACTAGCTTGTCTTGGAGCTCCGGCGGCAGCAATAAGCTGAACTGCTTCCGAGCATGCGGGAAGGTCATTAGGAAGGTGGAGATATCGCCTCGGGAAAGTGCGTCTGATATGTTTTCCTTTCCCGGAATGTGCTGCGCGGAGATGGTCAAGGTCTGCGACGCGAGGGTTGTGAAGATCCGCTTCAGGACAGTGTTTGTGTTCTGAGCACGCGAGCGGCCCTTGTTGACGACTGAGACCACACCCGCATTGTCGGAGCGGACAAGGATACATTGCTGGTGTGGTTGGCGGTCTGCTACAAGTCCACTCTGCAGCACGAGGAGTAAGCCGAGCTCGATGGCGACGGCCTCGGCCCAGCCAATGTCGTACTGACACTTTGGGCCTACCTGCACGCCGTCGGCCCATTTCCAAACTGCCCAGAAATCTCCAACGGTCACGCCGATGCCAAACGATGAGCTGGCGTCGCCCCACCAGTTGAGGTCGACTGGTTCTGGGGAAGCGAGCGGGAGGGTGTTCGGCATGAGGCCTAGGAGGTCGTGTGCCCAGTGCAGGTCGGCGAGGAGCGGACCGGAAGGTCGTAGGAGAGCACGCGGGGACTTGTAGTGAGCCGCGAAGTGGGCAATCGAGCGTAAGAACGGGCGAATGAGAGGGAAGATGCAGGATACGTGGACAAGCTTCCCATGTAGCCTCGCCGCGTCGCGTGCCGAGAATCGCGCACCTTCGGAGAACCAGGTCGCGAGCAGGTCCGTAGTTGACTGAAGTTTGTCGGGCGGGAGCGAAACTGTCTTTGCATCTAAGTTCCAGTCGAACCCGATGTAGCGTTGCACAGCGGCAAGTGGCTTCGTCTTCTTCAGGCCCCAGGGGACACCAACATCTGCTGTAAGTGCTATGAAATCGTCTTCTGTCCACGATTGCCCCGGCAGCCGGAATACGAGGAAGTCGTCGACCCACTTGCGGATGGGTCCATATCCAGATGCTTTGTATATGCCCACGAGCATGTCGGCAATTGCGCCGAAGACGCCGGCACTGGACGATAGGCCAAACATCACCGCCCTGTCTACATATACTTTGCCCCGCCAGAACAAGCACAGGGCGCTCTGTTGGGCGGGACGGATGGGCGTGATGCGGTAGGCAGCGGAGATGTCGAATGCAGCTGCTAACGTGCCCGAAGGGAGGGTCAGGATCAAGTTGGATGTATCCTTGAATGTTCCCCACTCTGTGGGAAAGTCGTCTGAATTTATGCCTGAATTCACTGAAGGGATAGATGGCTATAGAGTCGTAAGGACAATGGAAAGCTATATTACGGAAAGCTAAGGCGTACATTGTTCCGCGGATATGACATATCCTGAACCAGTCGTAACTTGTCTGTGCCCGGCTTTGGGACAAGGCCAAGAGGCGATGTGTGATAATGCCCTATCGCATTTGCGAGCTCCTCTGGCTCGAAGCCTTGAGAGTAGCGGCCAGCTGCTACTTCGCCACGAATATAAGTATCTATGAACTCGGGGTCCATCTCCGAGGACGCATGATTTTTGAATGTGAATGTTCGGGTCAAAGGAGTGTCTACCCCAACATCGAACCCAGAGCGGAGTCCCTCGACCACATGCTGCCAGTGATCCAATATGTTTAGATCGTGTAGCAGCCTCTCGACCTTGTCTGGGTCCAAGGGCGAGACCACTCGTCGCGGGTCAGTCGCATCTGGGGCAGGCGGCGGCACCGTGGCCGTTTCCACCACAGAGTGTGCAGCCATGGAAGTTTCGGCAGGTCTGTCCAAAACGACAGGAGGAGGACCTGGAGTAGTTGAAACAGTACTCCCTGCCGTCGGGACTGACAAGTGCATGCGGGCTGCGGGCGCCATCTCCTGCGAGGGCAACGACAGGTCGCCCGGCGAGGGAGTGTGATTGGGTGCAGTCACCAGGCAGGTGACCGGCGCGGCCACACCGAAAGCAATGGCTACCGCGGTCAGTTTTGCCCCGTTTCGGAGGAGAGGTGTGTGCGGTGGTGGGCGCAGCACGCTTAAAAGAGGTCGGGGCTGCGGCAGGTGTAGCGGGTGCTGCTACTGTAGCCTGGGTAAGCAAGTTTGCCTGTCCCCGCTTCCCCGACGAGATGAGGAGGAGTGCCTCACTATCCAGCGTGGATAGATCATGCGCGAGGTCGGTGCTGGCTGCCTCGCGCTGCTGGATGTCATACTCGAGTGCATTGGCCCATCCATGGGACCGAACGAGCGCCGTTACGATCCTGTGATGCAGCCGGAATGCCTCGCCGCGTTCGTGTCCGTGGTATTTCGTTATGAGGTCCTCGGCCGTCATCGCGGAGTCTGACCACTCGGCATGGGATATGTCACGCTCATTGAATCGGCTGAGGCCTTTCGCCGTCAGACCACCTTGGGCGTTAATGATGAAGTCCTCTTCGCCACGAGAGGCTCGATAGCGAGCATCGTAAGTGAGGGATATATATGGTACATATCTGTAGTCACGGAATGCGGCGTCGACCTTGGCGGGGACCGCTGTGATGTGGGGACAATAAGTTGTCAGCGGATGTGATGTAGACGCGAGTGATAGGACAGACGCGCGCGCCCGGCTAACGATCACTAGATCATGTTCTAGCGCGGCGAGTTCACGAGCAAGTATGGCAAACGACAAGTTCGTGCCCCAGTAGCACGGCGAGTTCGCGAGGCGTGAAGACCACGGCGAGTTCGTGTGTGCGCTGGGACATGTACCCGGTGCCAGTAGCGGCGAGTTCGCGCGGGGGGGGGGTCTCGTGACCAGACAGAATGGGGAGGGAGATACTCACGTAGCGACAGGGCACTCCTCTTGTGGCCCGGGGTGATGGGTGGCAGCACCACCGGCTTCTTGCCATCGTCCCGAGCAGACAGGGCGAGCATGCGCGCCTGCTGGATGGATGCCGGGTTGGCAATCATCGGGTTGATGGTGTTTTCGGGCGGCGGGGCCGGCGGGGCAGTGGACTGTGCACCCACTTGAGCTTCCAACGCCCGGATCTTGGCTTGAAGTTGGGCAAGCGTTTGATCCAACGGCACTGAGCTACTTGGGTTTACAAAGTTAGGTCCGGTTTGCTGTGTTTGGACCGGCGGGTAGGGGACAGGCGTGTTGCGGTTGCCGAAAGTGAGGCCGAGGTGAGAATGCATGATGAACGGGGAAATGAATGGATAAGTTGGTGATGTGGAATAGAAGGGGTTTTAGTGTAGAATAAGGCTGTAGAATAGCGTAGAGATTAAATCGAGGTAATATGCCTGCGTCTACTGTAGGAACGCTTCGTCGTCGGTGAACGTCGTCGTCGAGGTCAGGAAGTCGAACGACGAGAAAACTGCTCGAGCACTGC